CTAATCCACTGTGGCAGTCTATTTCTTTTAATTGGTGAATTGAGTCCATTTACATTGATGATTATAATTGAGATGTATTGATTTAGGATTTACATGTTACTTAGCTGCTGTTGTTTACTCCTTTTTCTCGTGTTTAATTGCTCGTCCTATTTAGTGGGTTCCTTCTGTTCTTGTTGGTGGAGTTCTGATCATTTTGGTTCCTCTCTAGAACATCTTTTAGTAGTTTGTGTAGACTTACTTTTGTCATCATGAAATCCTTTAGTTGTTCTTTGTCATGGAAATATTTTACTTCATCAAACTTGAAAGACAGTTTTGCAGGGTGTGGTAGTCTGGGCTGGAATTTGTTTTCATAGAGGACTTGAAGTACTTTGCTGCATGCTCTTCTTGCCTTCATGGTTTTTGAAGAGACATCTCCTGGTATTCTGGTGGGTTTTCCTTTAAATGTGATCTGTTTCTTTTCTCTAGTGGCTGCAGTATATTGTTCTTGTGCTGCATTTCTGGGATCTTGTCTATTATATGTCTCGGTGTATTTTTAATTGGGTTGAAGTTATTTGGAGTTCTGTATGCAGGCTGTGTACCTCTGACTCACCAGCTACACCAGGCATCTGGTTCCCAGAGACCATGTCTTTCCCCTCAGTGCACTTGTACCCGCTTTTCATGGTAGATTTTTATTGTACTATTTTGGGCAGTAGGGAAACATGTAGTGTTTCTGAGACCTGTTTAGAGACAAGAGCACCTTTATACTGACACATTTTTTTTCTTTTTCACTGTGCTCACATTTGCATTGGTGGCTCAGAAACTGTGGCATAGACACCTGCCATGTATGTGTATGTCTCAATTTGAGGCAGAAACACCAAGCTGCAGTGGTTGTCTTCATGAATTATTACACGTTTGTGGTTCCCCATCCCTTCAAAAAAAAAAGCTATTTTTGCTTAAGAATTTCGCTGAAGAAACAGTAAAAATCAGCCATTTTTAGTTTGTCCAGACATGGACTTGTTATGTAGTGCAGGCTGGGCTTGAACTCACTATGTATCCCAGGCTGGCCTCAAACTCATGGTAGTCATCGCCCAGAGTTCTGGGAATTCAGGTGTACACCACCACAACGAGCTTAGTGTTGTTAAATTTGGACCCTAGAGCATGTCTCCAAATGCACTGTGGGCTGAGGGGAGGGAACAGAAAGCACCCTTTCCACACACTGAAACATGGAGATGGGTGCAGACAAGTTCTGGACTGAGCCTGGATTTCCTGC